ACACATATTGATTAAAACTCACTGTCCATGCCAATGTGCCTTAAGGCCACCAAGAAGCGATCGTGAAGATTAGCAGTCCAGAAAATCTTGGACCTCTTTTGACCACAGTATATGAGTTCGTCATTATCAATCATCTCATCACGTTTTCTCTTGCAATGCTTCGTCCTTTGCTTTTTAGGCGATGCTGAATCCTGATTGGAGGCATTATTAATGCCTGGAGGTGAAGATGATGATGAGTCTCCTTCTTCTTCGCTTACTGATATAATTCTGTGATTCTTAAACCTCAGTTTCTCTCTCCTCCCAGCCACAGCGTACTGCCACACATCTCTTAAGTCCTCTCTTCCCACTGGTTTCACTAAGCAATACGCTGCTCCGTTCCCTAGGCTCCTCGACATCACTTTCCTCCTCCCATCCGCAGACATAACTGGACATGTGTGTGTGTGTGTCAGAAACTGATTAATCTTTTTAATAATGAAGTTTAGCTAGATAAACCTTAACCCTAGCTATTGGCTCTGCGAAAATAGTTAAATGTATTCAAGGTTGAAAGAGTACTTAATGAATTCTGGTATAATTACTTACTGACGACTGGGACATGAAATTCGCGTTTGACACGTTTTTGGAGTTCCAATCCATTCATTCCTCGCATGTTAAGTTCAGTGATAACGAGGTCGAAGAAGCCTCTGAATTCCTTCAGAGTCTTCAAAGCTTCATGACCACTTGTAGCAGTTACAACTGAAGTGATGAAAGGGCATCCTTTATCAGTACTATCTCCTATTCTTAATATAAGAGCTAGTTCGATATTTAATTTTGTCGTAAATATGAGATTCCAATTCATTTTATATCTCATATTTATCTATTTTTTTTAAAATAGTATTTGTAGTAGTTGTACATGTTAAATGTTCCATCAAAGGGTAGTTTTGGATAATTAATACACATGATTAGCAAGGGTATTCTGGGAAGATAACACCTATTTATTACAAATAATTAACATAACAAACTTTCTTAATCTAATCCAATTAGTCAACTATTATAATTAAGCAAACTCCTATGTTTATATCGCAGGTGCAAAAATAAATACCGCAAAAGATGTGAAATGAATAAGAAATAATGAAATGGGAAAAATTTATTCTCTTTGTTTCAGAAATAATGAGAGGTGCTTTCTGAGTAATGATAAAAATTACCACAACTAATTTTATTCTCTCTTTTTTCTCTCTTTTATTCTTATGTTGACTTAGTGCTGAATCGTAACTATTTAAACCTTAAATCATATATTGAGTATAATTTTATTTTAATTTGAGGAGTTTGAAGAAACTGATGAAACGAAGTAATTATATAGTCGCAAATATCAAAGTGAGATGAAATAAAAGTCATCCTTAAAAGAGTCACATGATATGTGCTCCTTGAAGAATCATAGATATCGAGGTTTTCCTTAAAAAACACAATCAATTACACATAACTTTACCAATAATAATTGACTACGTGACAAGATAGGACCTTGCAAGAAGAAAGAGAGACATATGATTAATTATGTAATAATACTTTTATTTCCCGAGAAGATGAAGAAGAACGAGATCGATGAGCCTGAAACAAACTCATCAAGAGACGATATTAATTTAATCAAACAGTACATAATTTTACGAAGTGGATATTACAGAACCTTTGTATTCCCATGATCTGAGAAAACCAGCGTTGACGGAGAGAGTGGTGGCATCATCGTCCACGAGCAAGACAGTGATGTGGAGCCTCTCGCAGCCTGCAACTTCATGAAAAGCGGCCATTGTCTCTGAAACCTGAATCCTCAGACAGATTGAAAACCACGTACGCTATCAGAAACTACTGTGCTATACAGTCATTGTTGGGGAAGATCACTGAGAGATGTGTCTCCTTTAATAATGCCTTATGAGGGAGGTGGTCAGAGCTGGGTTCAGACAACTTCTTACATTTGGCATTTTTACTTCTTCATGGAAACTATCTTTTTTTCATTTCCAGAAACTCTTTCTTTCTTGTCTGGAATACATTTTCCAACTAATTAATACCCAAAAAAAAATCTCGAATAAAAATGCAATATTTATTACTCTTCTTACCATTTTTACTTGGGTCCTTTCTTTAGAAGATTTACTATAATATTCTCATTTTCACATTGCTTTTTTAAGACAAATTTTTTACCTTTAATGTATAAGATCATATTCTTTTTCTTTCTATTTTTAATTTTAGACATGTCGAAGTCTTTTTAAACTGTGTTGTGATAATTAAACAATGGATCTGCTATATTTTTTTTTTTTTGACCGGAGATCTGCTATATATTACTATGTAATTTTAACATGCTTGAATTCAGATAGTTAAATCTTCATTAAAAAAGGACAAGACTGTCTTATCACCGAAAAGAAAAGACAAGACTGTCTTTGTATTCGCAGTTTTGCTATTTTGTTATAAATTGAGAAGGGAATTGTTGATGCTGCCATAGTATTGATATAAGCCCCTTTAATATACACCCACGTTCTTCCTTCGATCATTTTAACAAATTGATCAAAACTAAAAAATGGTAGCAAACTTATTAAATTTGTTTTAAATTAAATTTTTTCCAACTTTATCGACATCAAATGAGGTTGTGAAGGAGACAAAAATATAAGGAGTCACATTTAAGCATTAATTGCAAGGATTAAATTAACAAATAAGTATTAATTACTCTTTTATGTGACTAATATTTTGAATAATAACATCCTTTTAGAAGCAATTTATATTGAGGGAGAGGGAGTACATCATACCTTATGATATATTCATCCAATTCTTAATATATAAGCTAATTAGGGAGTTGATCTTGATCCTATATATAAGACTTATTTTATATGTTATCAATTTTTTTTCAAATTAATTTTAGTGATATTCTTCCAACAATAATCAAGTGGAGAGAGAGAGAGAGAGAGAGAGAGAGAATTAAGGAATATGCTTAGAATGTTTTAGAAAAAAATATATCATATTAACCAATTTAATTAATATAATTAATTTATTTAAATTAATTAATTAGGTCTTATATTAAATATTAGATGAGTATATCTTAAAATTGAAATAACTTATCTTACCCGGGGAACCTAACTCGGTTGATAATGGCGGGGGTGGAGTCTAGATAGTGAGAATTCGAAATTAAAAACTTTGCTGTCTGACGAAAAATAAAGAAAAATATTTGGCAGTTTGTGCTTTGTAGCAGATTGCTGAAAACACGTATGGCAGAAATTGAAGAACAGTTTTTTGTCAAAAAAGTGACTGAAGACGGGCCCACGCATTAACTGCTTTGCAAAATTGATTAAAGGGATAAATCCCTTCCTAAAAATTTAATTCGTAAATGAGATTTAAGTATTTTGTGCAATTTAATTTTTATTGTGTGCAACTTAACTTTTTTGTATACAATTTATCTTTCCTTGTGTGTAACAATCTTCCTTTCTTTGACATGCAACTCAAGTTCCCATTGTGCAAATGAAATTCTCTTATATGTAAGTCATCTTCCTTATGTATAAACTAATATTTTATATTTAAATAATGTTTTGTGCAAATCAGCTTTTCTTTGTGTAACTTACCTTTCTTTGTGTATAACTAATCTTCATTTGTACAATCAATCATCCTAGAGACTATTTGCCAATTAAATTTGTAATGAGTGATTTATCCCCAATTTTTTCTTGATTAAATTATGCAGATTTCAAATGAAACTCATTGGCCAAACAAAATTAAATTTGATATAAGTGTCAAAGTGTGAGTTAAAGAAAAATGTGTAACAAAACCATAATTCCTTTTTACCTTCTTCCCATTCAATACTTTACATATAATTCCAAATAATTCAGAAAACCACTGTAAATTAAACGTACAGAAAAAGAAATAAAAAACCAGGTTCTGCCTGTTGTTTTTCAAGGTCTTTTTATGCACCAAAAATAAGCTAACTTTTGTAGGAAAGGATGTAAAGTAATCGTTCAATTCGTGGGGAAACGTATCTAGCATTTTTTATTTCTAATTTCATTAACTCCAATATGAAATTAAATTGCCCTCCATACATTTACTAGTCATAATTACATGAAGTGATTGAGGCTATAATTGCTAGGTAACCAAATGTAATAAATTCATGAAGAAAACAAAGTGATATACAATTTTTTAAGAATTATATAAATAAATCAATGTCCTTTGAGGCTATGAATATATATATATATATTTGGAATTCAATGTTACTATTTTTTTTTTTTTGTACAACTCAGAGTATGATCAAATTACTTTAGACTTAAAATTAATCTTTGTTGAGCCGGCAACATTAAGGTTAAAGCTCTTCCAACAAGTACACAACTTGTGTTCTCTTCTTTATGAGAGTAAGATTACTTACTATCTTAACTAATAGCTTATTAGTAATCCAATGTTACTTGATACTATTCAATCTGAATAATTTTATCCCTATTTAAACGGGCTAACTCGTTTAAGTAACTGGTCAGGAAAGCAATATAAACTATGAAGACTGAATTTCTTGAATGATAAATTGATACAATTGTGATTCTATCTTTTATAGGCCACAGGAAGGAGAGAGCCCTCTTTCTGTGTTTGATGTTGGAGGCTTTTCAGCTATCTCAATATTTATTATTGGAGGGATTGCATCGAAGCTTCGTCTTCTTCCCTTTTAGAATCCACTCCGATCAGAACCGTATGGGCAACTGGGAGATGCGGTCCGAGCAATGTGTCATGTAGTTTTTTGTTCACTTGGTTATATCTTAAATCATTGCTTTCAATAATTTTTTATCATCTTTTATTCTGAAACATACAAAAAATATGAAATCATTTTGTTTTTCTTTCATTCTTCACATTTTACTCTACGCACAGAACAATCAACGTATAATCAAAACAATCTTCCAAAAGCATACCTGTAAACTAGCCACTCGTTTCATTCGCATCATAACGAAGCCGTGGAACTCGAAACCAATTTCATCCATCGGTTTTACGTGATCACCCCAAAATGGAGAAAATAAGCAAACTTAAATCCTCAGATAAACGTCATGACATTTCCGAAATAATCTCTCCCAGTGCAACTCCAAACTTGCCTCATCGATGATACAAATTGAGGCGCAGAAGGATGACAGAACAGGAAGACACGGCCGTGAAGTGTAGTATATAAATACGACGCTGACAAACTGTCCCATAGATTACACTTGCAGGTGTGACACGAAACCCTCCAACAAGATCTTTAAAAGCCTACTTAAGTACAAGAGCACCATGTCACAACAGATAGCATCTTTAAGGAAAAAAGCAGGTATTCAAAATATCCTGTACACAGATAATTTGCTGAACACTTGCTCACCCAGAAATGCCAATTACTGAGCCAAGTTATGTTAGTCATGCCTTCCACGCATAGTCATCGAGGTCACTGTTAAAGAATCCATTATCAGTGAACTCGCGGGCGATATCCTGAACCACATCTTGCAGATGGAGATTTTGTGGCATATCAGATGTTCTTTGGTTGAATACATTGTTGCCACCGGCTGCAGAAGAATCACTGTTTGAAGCAGCTTTAAAGCTGTTGCTCCTGCTAGGAGCAGCAGGTCCATTATTTCCAGAAACATTGGAAGTTCCTCCAGTTGCTGGTGAAGGGCTACCTCCAAAACCCACACCATTATTTGTAATATTTCCATTGGAGTTGGATCCACCATGGTACTGCGGTTGAACTCTTCCGCTGCTGTTATTTGACAATTCCTGAACTAGTTGCTGGAGCATTTGGGGAGGTAGAGCCTGATTTGTTTGGGAGCCCTGTGGATGATTTTGTTGCAGTATGCTATTCACACTTAATGACCGCTGTTTAAGTTGGTGCAGCTGCTGCTGCTGCTGCTGCTGGGGAGATAGATGGGGACTTGAGAAACCACTAACAGGTAAATTCTGCATGGAGCCTGGATGCAAAGCAGAAGCAGCACCTTGATAGTGTGGAGAGGGACTCCGGTTTGAGTTATTGAAGGAAGAAGATGCTTCCCGCTGAAGTGATGAGTTAGGGGTTGAATTCATGGAGTTTTGCCTCATGAGGAGATTCTGGTAGTTAGTTAGTGCCAATGCAGCTTGTGCAGATCCAGGATGCAATGCCATAAGCTTAGTAAGAGTATTCCGGTCAGTTGGCAAACCTTGAACACCCGCTGACTGTTCCCTCTCCTGCATCTTTTGCATCTGGAGCTTGGCTGCAGATGCATGTCTAGGATAACTTTTCAAGCCCTCTGCAGATAGGTGTTGAATCAGAATCAGAGAGCAGAAGTGACCATGGCTAAATGTTAAAAAAACAGTTAAAACCGCAGAGAGGGGCATATCTATTGGATCATCACATCACTTCATCATGCTCAACAAATTTCAAAATTTCTTAGGATCATGAGCGCGAAGCGACAGAAAACTTTAATTAAGTTTGTTTACTACTCCGTAGTGCTTTTTTTGGTTTTCCTTTTAATTCTCCATTTGCATTTTTTTCCCCCCTTTTAGTGAGTATTTCCATCTTTCTATTTCTTATTGATCAAGATTTAATGACAGTTATGTATCCCATGTCCAGCAGATAATAAAGACAATTGGCCTGAGGGTTAAAAAAAAAGAAAAAAGAAAAAATGGAAAACCAACATAATCCAACACAATGAAATATCAAAACAAAAACCACAAAGGATTACCAAGTGCCCCAACATTCTGCTCTCGGCAGAAATCCATCAGATCTTTCATGCTATTCACAACCTCCGATATCTGTAACTCATTGCAATAAAATAAGATAAAAACTTGATTAAGGAGGAAGTTCGCTCTCATCACAGAACATTAAACAGCAAACTATGCATTTAGACTTTCCAAGAGTACCTGCAAACATCTCACATATCGTTTTGAGAAACCCAAGTCATTCAGAGATTGCAAGTCCAAACTCTTTGCCAGCTGACACCCAGCTGTTATTACCCTGATACAAAATAACGTCAGCTTCATTTTTAACGAGGTCATATTTTAGATCTATTGATTTGTGCCATTTTCCCTCAAAAGAAGAGGGGGAGTTGTTCTTAATCTACCCAACTAACATTTGACACAGGCCGTTCTGTCCAGCTTAACAATATCTCTAATCAAATCATGGTAGAAAGTTCAAGGGAAGAAAAGAAAGCCCGAGATTCTACAGTTACATTACTGCAAGATGTTCATGCTCTTTAATAGCTTCATTTGCAATGATCAAAGACATAATTTTGATCCCAAAGGAAAAAGGAAAATTCTGAGAAATTTTCGCTCGTTAACAACCTTCATAGCCCCCAAAACAAAGGCATAATTTTGACACTAACGAGTTAATAGCCAACAAACAGCAATACTAGACACCAAGTATTGACTCACATATTGCTGTTTGTCTGCAACTCCTGCGGAGAAATCCGATCAGATCCACTTTCAGTAATAGACCGCTGGCACCTCTCAGCCACTTGAACCAATTGGCTAACCTGCAACAGTGAGAACTATAGGATGTAAGTTCCAAAATAGTACATCATCTTCATTCCAATCAGTTCATATGGCCATCAAAGTTTATATCTCCCTAGTTTTGAGAGGCATTTGCCATGCAACATGCAATTTTCCTTTCTTCTTATTATTTTGAAAGACCACTAACATCACATACTGTAATTAGAAAAGTAAGGATGTTAGATTCTATTTCCACCTAAAATCACCTACTTCCAGTTTAATAACAAAGCACTTATCCAAAAATTGCAGAATTACGCTTTTCAAGGAGGTAATTTCCACTGCATATGGAATTACCCACACAAACGTCCCACATTGCTCCGGTGCTTAATTCTGCATCACTCATGAATGCACACATAGCATAAATAACAACAAAGCATGCATGTACAGATACAAGGAGATAAAATATGTGATAAGAGGCACCAGGGGCAATTAATCACATAAAGTTGACCACCTCCCAATGATCACCTAATCTAAGCCATAAAATAAACCAGTTGAGGGACCATTTAAGAGAGAAATAAAAAATGGATCATTAGGTCCAAATCAAAAGCTCATCAAGAAAATCCTTTTTCCTGAAGAAAATAGCAGTAGCCAAAATGAGGTAAGTAAAGATTTACTATAGCATCCAGAGCCATACCTGTGGGGCAACCAACTTTCGAGGAAGAAGTTCTTCATGCCGTCTTGCACAAAACTCCCAAGATAATATCTGCATAGGAACCAGATTCAGCACATCATTAAGCATACATGATTCCTTCAGATGATAGCCCTTAATATGATAACGATTTTATAACCTTCAGATCTTGTGTAAATATGATGCGAAGTTGACCATCACGAACAACACGAAGTTGCTCATGCACGCTCTCTTGAACTGCCTTTCCATATTCTAACATCATTAAACCAGAAGGGAATCTATACTCACGGGGCAAGTCCAAAAACATAAGTTCATCAATCACCCCACTGCCAAATTTGATTTCATTAAGTCTGGGGAGTACTTCAAAAGTTGCCTCTGTTGATCAAATCCAAATTGTAGACATTATCAGATTGTCATTGGCCAAAAAATCAGATTCTCGGAGTAACATGAAGACAAAATCAGATATTTCACAAAAACAGCATGCTAAGAAAATAGCCGGCAGGTGCACAGTAAAGTGCATCTTTGTTATTTGTACCAGCTCTACCTTGACCAGTTAACCACTAAAAATGACTTAACTAATATTCTTCACGATGCTTGACTCAAGTTTTTTATTTAGTAACGAAAGACTTTCTAATAAAAGTTATGTTAGCACCCCTATGAATTGCTAGACGTGACAAGTATTGATCACAAGGCAAGCTATTCAGCAATTGAAAGTTGGAATTTAGAGTTTCCCAGGAGGAGAGCAAAGACTATCTCCGCATTAACATTTGTTTGGTGCCTAAAAGTTTAAAAATGATAAGACGGAGAAGTAAAATTATCTTCACATATCTCTGTCACTCTCCTTGATAAAATGTATTGCAGAAGGGGAACAATCTTGAAGCACAGTATGAAAGAATAATATTCTTACCAAATCCCCTTCCAGATTTAGAACCACATATGTCGCACTGCCATGCATCCTGGCCAGAGATACGTTCATAAAAGATTATTTACAGGTCAAAAAACATCAATGCATTAAAAACATAAAATAGTGAAGAGGGGAAAATCTTCTGAGCCCTGACAATCATCTGAGACAAAGATCATTGAAGTATATAGGCATTTCGGAGTCACCATTAGAACATAATAGGATCACGTAACTCATCAACACTTTGAATGCACGTTTGAACATCAGCACGAATTAAGACAACATCCTATGCTACTGTCAAAATGGTGCCAAAAAGCAGAAGTCAACACAGCAAAAACTTACCATAGCTGCTTGGGGGAAAACACCAAGAGTATGTTGCCCAACGTTATCATATAATGACAAACACCACCGCTTCTTTGCACGAGGAGAGTAATATTCAGCCACAAATTTTCTCCAATAGGCAATACTATTATCCTGGGACAAGTGGGAAAAATTAAAAATTCTAATTAATCTATACCTTGCAACCAAATACCTAAATCATCAAGCACATGCGTTCAGATACACGACCACGACGACGACGACAACAATAACAGAGCCTTTTTCCACTAGATGGCATGCAGTCAGATAACTAAATTTAAAATGAACACCTGAACGAGAAGTAAACTTTAAAAAATAGTAGAAAAATAAAAGCAGTATACCAGATCTCAAATAGACCTCAGCCAACTAAACCATTGCTCAAAGAAGAACTAATAACGCAAATGACATCTTGCCACATGCAAGAAACATACAGAAGAACTCACATTTGGTCGCTGCCTTTGATGATATAGGTATTGCATCAAACGACGGGCACACACACCACTGTCATATGGGCGCTTCATGGAAGACGAAGGCTGCATTGCTTCTTGTTGTAATTGCTGCCTTAATTGCATATGTTGCTGCTGCTGTTGCAAGTGAGCTCTCTGTAACTGTGGCATTGACTGGAGGATTTGTTGCTGCTGCTGCTGCTGTTGCCTCAGTCTCTGCTGCTGGAGGAAAGCCTGCAGTTGGGGATTACGACTCTGGAACTGCATGGGGTCCTGCCTCTGAAGAAGCTGTTGTATTACCTGCTGATGCATTATATCTTCTTGCTTAATATCCAACCGAGGTTTCTTCTGCATCTGGGATATATTATTTGGATCTTGTATCAGAGATCCAGCTACTCGGGTACCCATGGCAGTGGAGCTGGGCCAGATTGAGTTGCAGGCAAAGATGTTGCACTAGAAGCACCTTGCATTTGCTGATGATTCTTTTGCAGCTGTTGAACATTCTGGTCTTGATGAGAGCTCTGCTGTACTACACAAGAACCATCCATAACTGATGACCCCGAAATACTGATATTATTTGATGAGAATGAGATGGGTGATGCAGGTAAACGTAAGTATGAGTCTGTGTTATTGCTAGCGCTTCTCTGCAAACGGGGTCCCCCAGATAGGGCAGAGTTTGCATCTGTGACTAATGAGCTGGCTCCAACACTTGGCCCTGAGTTTGCCACACTGTTTAGAATTGCATTACTCATGTCACCAGAAACTGGACCCAGATTTGAACGTCCAGTTCCAGGAAATGAGTTGGATGTGTTACCAAAACACGAACTTAAGTGAGAGTCAACAGCATTCTGTGATTGCCCGTCTCCTTGATAGAATATTCCAGAACTTGATGATGAATGGGCTAACCCTCCAGCCACCCGAGAAGGTGCCATGGGGGGCACCGCCCCTCGGTGACAGGAGTCTAAGTAGCTCTCTAGAGCCAGGCCTGACTGGTATATAGGCTAACTAGAATGTTACGTCAACACCGTGACAGAGACATAAAGCCATATAATCTTTCTTCAAAAGTTCACAAGTTCTAGGTGAAAGACTTGTCGGGTAAACAAGTTTCCCTGATTTTATTTCTTCTTTTCCTTAAGTTTCCAACTTCAGCCAATCAATAACAAGTTGTCAAATCTATTAACTTCTGTGCAGCCAAATGTGCCCAATAATTTTATGAACTTCTCGACTCCGGAAACGCTCTGAAATGGATCTGATATACATATGGCGATACATGTTTGTTAGCATCAGGAATAAACAAGCTTCAAGCAATAGATAAAGGCAAGCCCGGGTATAAAAGCATACATTACAATCCAACCCAGGAACTAAATCACAATAAATTTCCCACTTAAACGTAGGGAAATCGTGGTTTTTAACCCCGCCCACAAAACCCTAATTGATCTTAATTTAGAAAACAATTAGCATAAGAATTAGTACAGAGCGGAAAGTACGAAGTCCTCAATACATTCAAACGTCCGAACAGCGATTATGTCGGCATATTGTATAAATGAAACGATGAATCAATCCATTACCAAATTAAACCGCAACATTCAGCCCACAAGTTCAGAGGATAAAAAGTTAGTGGTAGAACCAAAGAGCTTGAATCGAACGTGCAAAGTGCGAATTTCCGGTCCACACGCCGCAAAAATGCAAACTTCAAGTCAAACGAACATCACAGAACTGGTAAAAGAAAAGGATCGAGAGCAAATAAACAAAAAAAGTCCAACTCTAAAGGGGGAAGATGAAAAGATGCGGCTTTCCAACTTGTGAGATCGATCACTAGCTAACTGAAATTGAACCCAATGAAGAACATGGCATTTGGCGTAAAAATGATTTGAATGCGAGGGAATCAAAGGGAACGAGCCACTCACATCGGCAATACGAGCTGGAGAAAAAGCTAAACCTTGCCTTGATTATTATCAACCTAAAATGCGTGAGAAAATTATTAATTAGCAAATGAAAAGAAAAAAGAGAGAAAGAGAGTAACCGACTGTTAGGGTCTCTTTCCTATATTACCGGCGCTGTCCGGTAAACAGCAGGACACGTGTCGAAAAAGTCCAGAAGAACTAAGTCGGCGTTAGATCATGCGGCCACGAGGAGATGATCAACCACGTGGCACCACTTAATTGGCTACAGCTCGGGGGGCATCAAGGATATGGAAAGGAGTACCGGGGTAAATCTGTCTGAGCAATGATCGGGTACGGCGGCACTAGATCTGGTATTAAGATACGATTGGAAGACACGCCGGATTTGAATGGGATGGATAATGTGGACTGCGGAGGTTGGTGGGGCAGGAGTATGATTGAAGTTCTGTTTGATCTGATTGGCTGAGAGATCAGAGAGAAGGGTATATATGTTGTAACGTGTGGCCGCACGTGCTTTGGGGGTGTCTGGCATCATGAAAAGTGCTTCTTAGAACACTTTTTTACAAATCGAGATAAACTCCTTCACATATTTATCTCGTAGATCGTAAAATCATTTTTGAAACCATAGTTTGGTTTTCATCCAAACACCCCTTAATAAAACCTTGACCCCTCTTCTCCCTCGTCACTACCCATATCAACTCTTGCTCGTATTTTGGACATTTAGACTAGGCTGTACTTTTAATTTTTTTAATTTTATGCCAGATTTTAATTTGATCTTTTCATTTTGAAAATATAGTTCTCATCATTTAATTCTAAAATTATTAATAAAAATAATAATATTGAGATCTTGAATGTCAATAAAACACCAATATATCAAATTTAATTTTTAAAATAACCATAATTATTACAAAAAATCATTATTTAAGATTAAAAATTTTAAAATTTAAGAAATAAAAATATATTTTTTAAAGTTAAGAAAATAAATCTAAATCTTATATAAAATTAAAGGACTAAGAATATATGTTAGCATTTAGAATTTATTGTTTCGTTTCATCTAAACCTATTTTTATAAAATTGTTATTAAAATATGAAATTGTTAAAAAATGAATAAATAAATTCAAATTATGAATAATTTTTTAATGGTTTAAAATTATGATTTTAAAAAATTTTATTTCATAAAATATTAAATTCAAACCATTCAAATTTAATTTAATCATATATATAGAAAGTGAGAAGAAAGTGGAGGGGAAAAAATTAAGAGAAATTAAGTTTATTTTAGTACAGGCATTCTATTTTTTAAACAAAAAATGATGGGGTTAATGGACAGAGAATGACAATTTGATTACGTGTCTAGATTAATTTAAAACAAAGCACTTTTATTTGTTATACGAAAAGATATATGAAAAGAGTTTTATTTTATAAAATGTAAAAATGAGTATCTTAAGAGTCCCAAGCAACCTTATCACATCAAAAGGCAAAACCCTCAACATTTTTTTCCCTATTGTGCTTCTTTCTCCCTTTGCAAAAAACACACTTTCTTCGGACAACAAAACCACTCATCTTCACAATTTTTTGAGTCAAAGATTTGTCTTCTCACCATGAAATTTGTTAAATTCTTCAATCTCTCATTCTTTGAAACTCCATGAGTTCACCGAAACCCTAGTGTCCATAACCCCGTTATTTCATACGTGTCGTTCAACTTCCCCTTCTCAATCCCAAGCATCTTTCAAGATCTTGTGATCTTCTTCAGTAATCTCAGAATCTGATACGAGTCAGTTGTACAAGTCAGTTTGTTAATTAGCACTTGTCATTCTGTTACAACTTGTATAACTGATTAGTTGTTAAATACCCCATAATTGTATGTTGGAGGGGATATTGGAAATAATACACTTCTACGTAATTCTCTCTCTCTCCTCTGTTGTGCAACAACTTGGCATCAGAGCCGACCTTCCGGCTACGCCATCATGCCGGAAACAAGATCCGGTGAGCGGATCGGTGACATTGAGCATCACTTGGACTTACATGCTAACGCAATGGAGACTGCTCGTGCGCGATTGGAACAGAATTCTTTAGACATTGGCGAACTGAAAACTTCAATTTCTCGTATCGAGAACTATATGGGGGATTTGATGCTGAAACTTACGTCCATAGCTCAGTCCTCATCACACGACAACATTGGTGTTTCTTCTTCTACTCCTAATCGCCAGCCAGTTCCTCAGTTTGGCACTTATGGATCTTCCTGATCGCACTACGCTCCTCCGACAAAACAGAGTCGCGTGGAGTTTCGAGATTTGACGGCACAGACTTCAAAGGATGGGCTTACCGATGCCAACAATTCTTTGCCGTCGATGGTACTCTAACTGATCAGCGGATACGACTTCTTAGTATTCATCTTGAAAAGAAGGCCCTCAAGTGGCATCTTAATTTCATGGCAAAGAGACAAGACTCGGAAGTATCTTGGGATGACTACTTCAAACAAATGGAAGCCCGTTTTGCCGAAGTACGTCGCATATCTCCGATGGTGGAACTTCGTAATCTCCATATGACGACGTCGGTTGATGATTACATTGACGTGTTTGATGAATTATTGACAGAGGTCGATATTCCCGAGAACGTTGCTATGGATATTTTCTTGGGAGGGCTACGTTTTGACATTCAATCGGCAGTGGATACTTTTAAGCCGTCTTCGCTCGCGAGTATGATGCAGATGGCGCGACTTCAAGAACGAACGCTTGCAGCTATATTTGTGCATGCTCCTACATCTATTCCAGGCCATCGTTTTAGTCAGCATATCAGACCTTCAGTGGAGAGTTCTACCAAACCCTCCATGACCTCCTCTATTTCGAAAGGTTCTGTGAATAACAGGGAAGGATCATCTCCTACTCTAACTACTTCAAAAAGGCCTGCTCTGACCTTGTCTAAAAAAGAAATGGAAGAACGGAGGAGGAAGGGGTTGTGTTATTGGTGCAATGATAAATACACAAGCTCCCATAATTGCCGTACTTCTCATGTTATGATGCTTGTTATTCAGAACGACAGCGATGAGGATTTCCTAGATGCGGCTGAACAGTTTGATCTGGGCAGTGATCCAGCTAAGGTTGATGCAACCATTAATGCAGCAGAAGGTCGGGAGGGCTGTTCCACTTTGAAGGTTGAAGGGTACATAAAGAAACAGAGAGTCCTCGTTTTAATTGATACAGGCAGTACGCATAATGTACTTGATGCTACAGTAGCTAAACGTTTGTGTTTACCTGTCCAAGAACAAGAGGGTCTACGTGTCGCTGTGGCTGGAGGACGACGCATAGTCATCAATAAATTTTGTCATAACTTGACTTGGACTATGGCTGACCATAATTTCTCTGATTCATTTTTGGTGATGGACCTAGCAGGATTTGATGTTATTTTAGGAGCCCAATGGCTTAAACGGTTGGGCCGAATTGTTTTGGATATGAATGACCACTTTATGGCTTTTTGCTTTGATCACAAATACTTTGAGCTGACAGGTGTAACGAGAAGAGACTTTCCACCCAATGAAGATACCTTGTATCCATGTGATCTATCGGTGGCACAACACGTGTTTCTAATCCAAGTGCTGGACCATGGTGATGGGTCTCTTATGTCTCTATCTGCCACCTCCACATTAGCTGGCCCTCAACAGCGACAGCTTAATGATCTTCTTCTCTCCTTCAAAGATGTTTTTGCTGAGCCACAGTCGCTGCCCCCATTTCAAGATTTTGATCATCAGATTCACTTAAAATCAGATCAACCCATCAGTTGCAAGCCGTATCGTTATGGACCAGTACAGAAGACCGAAATTGAAAAACAGGTGCAACAAATGCTTCAAAATGGCATTGTGCAAGAGAGCCATAGTCCCTTTGCCACTCCAGTCGTATTGGTTCAAAAGAAAGACAACACCTGGCGTTTTTGTGTGACTACCACAAGCTGAATGAGAATACTGTCAAAAACAAATTTCCCATTCCCTTGATCGATGAGCTTCTCAACGAGTTACATGGTGCCCATTATTTCTCCAAACTGGACTTGCGTGCGGGCTATCACCAAATACGAATGAATCCTAAGGACGTCCATAAGACAACGTTTCGTACTCATGAAGGACTGTATGAATTTTTGGTGATGCCCTTCGGATTGACGAATGCGCCGGCCACATTTCAAGGTTTGATGAACTCTGTTTTTAAAGCTTTCCTACGCAAGTTCATCCTTGTTTTTTTTGATGACATTTTGGTGTACAGCAAGACTTGGGATTTGCATCTAGATCATCTTACTCATACCTTGATGCTCCTACGGAAGCATACTTTATTTGCCAAAGCTTCCAAGTGCACTTTTGCAGCATCACAAGTTGAATACTTAGGCCATTTGATTTCGAGAAAAGGGGTTGAAGTCGATCCTCGAAAGATTGAAGCTGTGAGCTCTTGGCCGGTACCTAATTCCATTAAAGCTGTTCGTGGATTTTTGGGACTTACGAGCTATTATCGGAAATTTGTTCGTCATTATGGCTCTATTTCTCGACCACTTTCTGACTTGCTTAAAAAAGGAGAGCGATTTCTTTGGTCAAAAGAAGCTGCAGATGCTTTTAATACTTTGAAGAAGGCCATGACTTCTACCCCTGTGCTTGCATTGCCCAATTTTACAGAACGCTTTGTGATTGAAAATGATGCTTCTACAACTGGCCTAGGAGCTGTTCTTACACAGCTAGGCCATCCTATTGCTTTTGTTAGCAAGCCTCTTAGTCCCAAGAAACAATCATTGTCTGCCTATGAGCTAGAACTTATGGCCATTGTATTTGCTGTACAGCAGTGGCGGTCTTATTTGGTTGGCTCTGTTTTTACCATCAGGACAGATCATCTGCCTTTGAAACATCTGTTGGAACAGAAGACGGTGTCTCCAGACCAGTTCAAATGGCTTAATAAGCTTTGGGGATTAACCTATGAGATTGTGTATACTAAAGGGAAGAACAATAAGGCTGTCGATGCTCTCT